CTGTTTGGCAATGAGTGGGTGTATAACAGTTAGATGTTTCAACCAAAACCCATGCAGTTCATCTTCACCTGGTGCTGACCAATTTTTGATTTTCTTTGCTCTTTTTTCTACCATTTTTGTTGTTATTACTAGTTCTTTCATTTCAACTTCTGTTTTATTTGCATCCACCTCTTTTAACCAAGCCGCATCCTTGTTGTATTTCTTTGGGTTATCCCATATCTGCTTCCAGAACTGCACTGTTTCTTCCTTGTCAGGTACTGACTGATTCCTTGCAGTTTCTCCATTGATGGATTGGTAGAAACGTTTCTGATTGGATTGAAATTGGAGGTTCTGCCTATAGTTTGCAATTCGAGCTTCATATCTACTGATTTTCCTTGCTATAGCTGTTATTTGTTGCTTTATTATTTCCAGTGCTTCCTTGATCTTCCTTTTTTCTAAGTGGTATTTCTTGATTAGGTATTCTTTTGTCTTCTTGTTCTTCAGCTTCTTTTCTTTCATCTGTTCTAGCTTGCTTGCATGTGATCTTAACTTGCTGATTTCTTTCATCTGTTCTAGCTTGCTTGCATGTGATCTGAACTTGCTGATCTTATTTTCTAGTCTAACCTTCCATTTTTGTGGTGCATTGTTTGTTTGTTTTTCTTCTTTGTTGATTTTGCATCCCAGGTATTCAGTTATAACTGCAGCTGTGCGGTACATTAGTTGGTTTGTTTCTTGCAGTGAATTGGTGCTTATACTTGCTATTGCAGTATTTGCATCTTTTAATGCTTGTGCTAGCTGTTTCTTTGGAACAAGCATTCAATGCAGGTAGCCTTATTCTGTTGTTTTGTAGCTGTTCTAGATGCTCAGTTATTCTTGTTTTCATTCTTTTATTTCTTTAGTTACGAGGGTTTTGTTCTTCCTGAGGTAAGAGGTGCCTGGTTCCAAATGAGAACAGTTGTATATCTCCTGCTAGATTCATTTTTCCACTGCCAAAATTAACCCTGGTTGCTCTACATTCTAATACTTCTGGTTAAGGCTTTGATTTCTTTTGCCCTGGGTAAACCTTTGCAGTTCGGTCCAATTCCTGTTTCTCGTGAAATTTTATTCGTGTTATAAATCGGCGTTGATCTGCTAGTCTCTGTTCTGTTATTTCTGATTCTGGATGTTGTTCTTTCCAGAACTGGTGCATTCGTTTTAGATATCCTCTTCTTGTTGGACTTGATCTGTAGTAACAGATCATTCTTTCTTTGTTTTCCATCACTGTGTATCTGCGATGGGTAAACACCTTTTCTTCCAGTAGTTCTGCAGCTGCTGGCCCTGGTTGCTCAGCCAACAGTCCTGAGTCCTGTAACCATTTTTCACCAGATATCCAGGAACTCCAATATCTAGCGCGGACCTTGTTAACCCGGGCGACATCCGAGCCGGGAGGGCATTCTGAAATTTACGTCTCACACATATTTTTTATGGGAGAGACATCTTTGTATGACTCCTCTGATGAGACCTGTCCAGTAGGTGAACCTCTGGCATTAGCTCTCATCTTCCTCAGTAGTACAACAAGCCCACAACCACGTCAAGGTTAGTGCCTCTCTGGGGGAATTATTATTATCATTCATCGCACAGTCAGCCAGATGTTCAGACTGGATTTGGCATTTTGTCTACCGATCCAGTCCTTACCCATGACCTGGGATAGGCAGATGTGGATGTTTGATGGTATTACAGGTATCTTCGCAGGATGGAAGCAGTTCCTAGTAAGGCCGCCTTTTGCAATTGACTAATAGCGAATTTGTCAATGCCAATGGTGTTCAAGTGGTGCTCCAGTTGTTTTGGGATTGCACCCAAGGAGCCTATGACTATTGGTACTACCCTTGCTTGCTTTTGCCCAGTCTTTTTATTTCTATTTGTAGGTCTTTGTATTTTTGTTATCTTATCAGTTACTTTATCTTCATTCTGTTATCTCCAGGCATGCCACGCCAACTATCAGGACATTTTTTGTCTTTTATCGACAATTGTTAAGTCTGGGGTTGTTATGTTGCAGGTTGCTTGTCGTTTGAATTCTGAAGTCCCAGAGCAGTTTAATTTTATCATTTTCTATGACTTTCTCTATTTTATGATCACACCAGTTTTTGCTTACAGGCAAATGATATTTTTTGAAGATCTTCCAATGCACCATTGTTGCTACTTTGTCATGACGCTGCTTGTAATCAGTTTGTGCAATCTTCTTGCAACAGCTTACCAAGTGGTCCACGGTTTCTTCAGCTTCTTTGCATAGGCGACACTTACTGTCTGTTGCTGTCTTCTCAATTTTGACTTTGTATGCATTTGTCCTTAAGGCTTGGTCTTGTGCAGCAGAATTAGTCCTTCGGTCTCTTTCTTCAATTTCCTGCCTATTAGCCATTGCCAGCGTTTATTATTATCTGCCTTCCCCGCATATTTTTCATGTTTGGCATTGTAGTCTTTTGTATTCCCATGCCTCTATTCTGTTCTTCATTTGGTCTTTCTTGTAGCCCAAAAGTTTGGTCTCTCCAGTAGTTAATAAGCCTTCCTGATATACTAATTTCAGTGCATCTTCATCATTGTTCTTCAGATATTCTTCCAAAGCCATTTTTTCTTTTTCAACCATCTGATGTACTTGTAGCATTCCACGCCCACCTATTTGCCTTGGTAGATAAAGTCTATCAATGTCACTGCATGGATGAAGGGCATGATTCATTGTCATTATTTTTCTGGTCTGACTATCCATTGCTTTTAGTTCTGCTTGAGTCCAGTCCACTATTCCAGCTGTGTACCTACTGACTGGGATTGCCCAGGTGTTGATTGCCTTTATGGTATTTCCTCCATTGAGTTTGGATTTTAAGATCTTCTTCACTCTCTTGATGTATTCACCTCTAATCTTTTTCTTGACTTCAGTGTGCTTGATGTTGTCAGCTTGAAGGATACCCAAGTATTGGTAGTATTCTTCCTCATCCAGACTCTTAATGTTATTTTCGTGGGGCATCTTGATTCCTTCATTTTTCACTATTTTTCCTTGTTTGATAGTAAGTGTGGCACATTTGTCCAAGCCAAACTCCATTCCAATATCTTGGCTATATATACGGACAGTGTTGAGCAGCGATTCTATTTCAGATGATGTTTTTCCATAAAGCTTCAGATCATCCATATAAAGGAGGTGGGATAGTCTAGCAGATGTTTTTGATGTTTGATAACCATGTCCTGAGTTATTTAGTATTGTTGACAGAGGAAACAGTGCAATAACAAATAGTAATGGGGATAATGAATCTCTTGAAATATTCCTCTCTTGATATTAACCTCTCCCAGTTTTCACCCATGATCTGCAAACTGTGTTTCCATTGTGCCATCGACTCTTGCAAAATTTTCTGGATGCTCTTTTTTTTATTCTACTTACTCCTGTTATTTCTAGGCACTTGATTATCCAATCATGTGGCAGAGAGTCAAATGCCTTTTTGTAGGCAATCCATGCCACATTCAGGTTGGTCTTCCTTCTCTTGCAGTTTTCCAAGATCATTTTGTCTATTAGGAGTTGATCTTTTGTTCCTCTGCTATTGGGCGGTTTCCTTTCTGCTCAGGTGGAAAGAGATTGTTTTCAACTAGATGCTGTTGTACTGCATCAGCTACCACACCAGTTAGTAATTTGAATGTTGTTGGTAAGCAGGTAATTGGCCTGTAGTTACCTGGTGTTGCCCCTTTTGCTGGATTTTTTCATTATTAGGTAGGTTTTCCCAGTTGTTAGCCACTTTTCAATTTCTCCTCCTTGTAGTATATTGTTGAATTGCTTGGCAATGAGTGGGTGTATAACAGTTAGATGTTTCAACCAAAACCCATGCAGTTCATCTTCACCAGGTGCTGACCAATTTTTTATTTTCTTTGCTCTTTTTTCTACCATTTTTTGTTGTTATTACTAGTTCTTTCATTTCAAATTCTGTTTTATTTGCATCCACCTCTTTTAACCAAGCCGCATCCTTGTTGTATTTCTTTGGGTTATCCCATATCTGCTTCCAGAACTGCACTGTTTCTTCCTTGTCAGGTACTGACTGATTCAGTGCATTCTCAATCCATTGATGGATTGATAGAAACGTTTTTGATTGGATTGAAATTGGAGGTTCTGCCTATAGTTTGCAATTCGAGCTTCATATCTACTGATTTTAAAAACCTTTTCTTCCAGTAGTTTCTGCAGTCTCGCTGGCCTCTGGTGCTCAGCAAACAGTCCTGTAGTCCTGTAACCCATCATTTAACCAGATATCCAGGAACTCCAATATCTAGTGCGGACCTGTTAATATCGGGCGAGTCCGAGCTTATTATTATTATTATATTAGTATTATTATTATTCTATTATATTATTATCGATCCATCGCATAGTCAAGCCAGTGTTCAGGACTGGATTTGGCATATTTGTATACTCTTGAGTCCTTACTCTAAAGGACCTGGATAGGGCAGATGTGGATGTTTGATGGTATTACAGATATCGTCGCAGGAGGGAAGCAGTTCCTAATAAGGCCACCTTTTGCAATTGACTAATAGCGAATTTGTCAATGCCAATTGTGTTCAAGTGGTGCTCCAGTTGTTTTGGGATTGCACCCAAGGAGCCTATGACTATTGGTATTACCCTTGCTTGCTTTTGCCACAGTCTTTCTATTTCTATTTGTAGGTCTGTGTATTTTGTTATCTTCTCCAGTTCTTTCTCTTCTATTCTGCTATCTCCAGGCACTGCCACGTCCACTATCCAGACTTTTTTTGTCTTTCTTATCGACAATTGTTAAGCTGGTGTGTTATGTTGAAACGTGCTTGTCTGTTTGCATTCTGAAGTCCCAGAAGCAGTTTACTAAATATAATAATAATAATAATAAAATATTTGTAAAAAAAAAAAAAAAATAATAATAATAATAATAATTATGGTTGGGTTGTCATATAGTCAGATATATTTGTCATTTTTATAATTTCTTATTTATAGCAGTTATAATATAATCCCTCATTTTTTCTTAATAAAAATTAATATAATAGTGAGTTGTACCTATGAATCAGTGCAGAAAAGAGCAATAAAGATCATAAGAGGTCTGGAGGCTAAACCATATGATGAACGGCTAAAGGAACTATAGATAAGGCTTAGGAGGGGCATAATAGCTGTCTTCCCATGCTTGAAGGGCTGTCACAGGGAAAAGGGGATTGATTTATTCTTCAAAGCACCTGAGAGCAGGACAACAAGCAATGGATGCAAGCTTATTAGAGGAAAATCCAATCTTAAACTAAGAAGAAATTTTCTGACAATTAGAACAATTAGTCAGTGGAACAGCTTGCTCCTAAAGTCATGGGTGTTCCATCCCTGGAGGTTTTCAAGAAAAGATTAGACAACAATTTGTCCACGATGGAATAAGGACTTCTGCCCTGGGCAGGAGGTTGGATTATAAGACCTCCAAGATTCCTTTCAGTCCTATGAGTCTATGATTTTATGAGCCTTACAGGGCCCATGTTTAAAGAAGGTGTTTTAGAAGTAAAGTAACATATTATGAAATATGTCACAAAGATTTTCTGCTTTCCTCTATACACTTTCCTTGTAGCTTCTGTCTGGAATAAATTATTTTCAGGTAACTACATTTGATTTTTTCACAGTAATGAAAAGAATTTCAATGTCTGCCACTGCGGCTTACTGCCAAAGATTCAACCCTGCAGAAATGAAATCTTAGACAACAATGCTTTTTTTTTCCTGGTGCTTTCTATTGTTTGTGATAAAAGCAGAAGCTGGTGATATTACTGTTACTGGTAAGCTATTTCAAGATTACTGCAAATCTTCATTGGTTGATGTTTCTTTCTCAGTTTTCCTGTAAGGCAGAGTCCCCCAACCTTTCCAGCTTTATGGATTGATGGGGGGGGGGGAGAGGTGATGGTTCCGCTCAAATGGCCAGCAAGCATTCATGGCTCAATTTGTGCTTGTCTGCTGCTCAAGCAAGTGGAGATGCGTATGTGCTCAGCCATCGCTTCTGTGGTTGGTTCCAAACAGCTCATGGCTCAGTAGCTGGCCGTGGGTCGGGAGTTGGGGACCCCAGCTATAAGGGGTTGTGTTTTTAAAGATATTTTCCTATCTAAAGTGTGATCTTATATCTTTCACAGAGGCAGATTTTAATGATTTCTAGATAGGGAGGGCTTCATAGGTCAGGGGCAGGAATATGCATATTTTTGTTAGCTATAAAAGTCTATTATGCATGTCAATAAACAATATAAGGCTTTTCAAGAATACATACATTTTTGTCCATTACTCATCCTTCAAAACTCCATCCTCTTATGAATATATCATAGGTCGGTCTTGAATAGCAAACAAGGGTTATCTTTTTGTTAAATGTGTTATCTACACAGTTTTTCAGCTTCTGAAGATAAAAAAGATTTCAATTAGAAGATTCAATGAAAAAAACACACTTTGTATGAAAAAAGATTCTGGGTTCAATTCCCAACAGTTCCTGTTCCTGATCATTCTGGAAGTTCCTCTTGGAAATCCTGGAGAAATGTATCAGTGCTGATTGTATTGAGATTGATAAATTCGATGTATATTAAAGACATATTGAATATGTCTTTAATATACGTTGACTCTATGGAATCTTTGAACTAATGCTGAATCAGGTAGAGACTCTGTAATCTTAGTCCAACATTTGTATTCAGCAACTCAGCCATTTTTTTTTTCTGACATAATTAAACTGCAGAATTTTCTTTGAAATGCTGCTGCTCTGTATACCGGTAGTTTGTGGGGAGTCAATTTCCTCATTAGTATGAACACTGGCCTCAACCCAGCCCTTGGTGCCAGATTTTTTTTTTTTTTATCTCCTGAAATAGATCTACCAGGCAAATGGTGGTTTTTAGGCTTCCCCTTATAGGAATTGGGGGGGGGGACTTAATTAGGTTTTGCCCCCTTTTATATGTTGCCAAATTCACCTAGTATGAAATAAGACATGTGCGTGCTTGTGTGTGTGTGTAAGAATTTTCTTTTCTTTTCCAGTAGAATGAGGGTAAATGGACTTCTGCTATTTCAGGACCTTTGGATGGTTGCGACATGCAATGTCTCAGTGTTTTGATATCAGAGGTCTTCGTGGGTTGTCTTTTAGAAGATCCAAGGAATGAGGCTTGTTATCTTATTAATGGCTGTAGAACTAGTGCTGGCAATGAAATTCATAAAATATCACATACTGGCAAACTGATGCCTTATTGTTATTAGTTGAGGAGCTGATTGCTTCTCAAAGGTCTACATATGTACCTAGATGCTTATAATAACTAAAATGTCCTTTTTTAAAAAAAAAAAAAGATAGTACTGACTTTTAAAATTATTTTCAGATTGCCTTAAAAAGCATATCAATATGAGGTACAGAGCCATCAGCAACCACAAATTTATTGTATCATGCGACCTGCCATCTGAAGACACCACATCAATTTACAACCATTCTCCTCTTTCTGAAAATCATGTAATGTGGTTCCGTCAGTCCAGTGGTGGAGGAGCCACTATAATCCTCAGTGATAAAACCGCCAATCCTACTCTTTGGGGGAGCTCACTTTGGTTTAGGCCAATAAAAACTGAACATTCTGGAACATACATCTGTATGAAAAGGTTGGTTGTGTGAGTAAACTTCTATTTTGCTAGTGTTTTACCATCCCAACAATCACTTTTTAAAAAATCTGATATGATCTGCAGCTAATTCTTTGTAAAATATGTTTTTATTTAAACAACATTTTCATATTAATCATAAGTCAGAAAAAGAATGGAAACTATTAAGAGTATACCCAGATGCTGTGTAGTGTGATCATAGCCACATACCTTCATGAATGATATGATACTGTATAATATAATTTTGGAACATGTTAAATTAAACCAGGTTACAAAGCTATCCAATAGATAGTGAACAGGAACTTTTACTCAAGCAACTGGAAGGCTCACAATGTCCATACAGTTTTGGAGCATATTAAATCTTCAAACCTCTTTGTCAATTTCTTCCATAAATAAAATCTCTTTTACAATCATAGGATATATTGGGACATTATAATTTTTTTTTCAAAGATTTTAATAATACAGTGGTACCTTGGTATGCAACTGTTTTGAAACTCATCAAATTTGGTACTCAATGCATTTTGATGCAAAAATGTTCAGAACTCATCGGTTGTTTGGTATTTAATGCACAAGCTAGAACTTATCAGTGTCAGCTGCTTGTGATTCACTACATTATTCCTTATGGAAAAAAAATGCTGGTACACATCGCACCTTCCAGAACCAATTAACAATGAGTACTGGGGTACTACTGTACATTTCAGGTTCAGCAATGTATTGAATTCATTTTTTCTCTTCCTGCACAGAATTAGTCTCTGAATAATTTCTCCTGAAGTTTCTTTTTGTGTCACACAGGGATAGCATATCACCATGTGTCAATATTTTAATAGCTGTTCAAACAAAAATTATGGCTAATTGTTCAGTTAACAACAGAAATGACATTTATCTATTTGTGGACCAAGGAACATCTATTGGTTGCCCAGGAAAAAACTGTTATTCTAATTTTCCACAATCATCAGTGAAATGGTACAAAGTAAGTTTTTTTTAAGATAACAACTCCCTTGAATCCATTCAATTGCTGTGCATTTCACAAAACACTGAAATAGCTTTGATTTGTTTGAAAAATTATAGAGAGATTGTTTGTCCTTATTTCTACTGGAATATTTTCTTTGACCTCCCAATTTAACCTTTTACCCTAATATTCCCTGGTTTCTTGAGAATCTAAGCAAGTTTGGATCTTTTGAGTACTTGGATATACATTCAAGATTAGCCAAAGTCGAGTAGGTGCTGCTACTGGTTGGCAAACACAAAGCCATTTGGTTTTAATTTTAATTTAATTTTAAGAGCCATGGTGGAGCAGTGGTTAGAATGCAGTATTGCAGGCTAATTCTTTCAACTGCCAGCAGTTCGATCCTCACCAGCTCAAGATTGACTTCCATCCTTCCAAGATTGGTAAAATAAGGACCCAGAATGTTGGGGGCAATATGCTGACTCTGTAAATTGCTTAGAGAGGGCTGTAAAGCATTGTGAAGTGGTATTGCTAATTGCCATTGGAAAAGTGGGATGGGGAAGGTCGTAGAATCTGGTTTCATATAGAGTAGGATTTCACAACCTGGCACTCTTTGGCTGTAATGGATCACAATTTCTGCAGTTCCCAGCCAGCATGGTCAAAACCAGAAAGGGATTCATATGAACTGGAATACCACATATCTGGAGTGCACTGGTACAGGGAAGGCTATTGCAGAAATAAAAGCAAATTAAAACTCCTTATTTTCACCCAAAGTTCTTTAATTATACCTTTCATGACTAATAATCATGATAGTTTTGTAATTCATTTGAGGATCAGAAATCATACACTTATGAATACCAGTTGCTATGAAGTATCTGGCGGTTAACTTGAGAATTTGTGAATTTGCACATTTCAACCTATCATAATATTTGAGTTGTTCATCTTTATCTTTTTTTAGAATGGAA